TGTTGATGTCGATCATGATAATGGTGTTGACTATGACGATGGTGATGATGATGATTTTGATAATGTTGGTGATAATGATGATGGTGATGTTAATGATAGTGACGATGGTGTTGACTATGATGATAATGGCTGGTGTCTGAGGTGGTAGTGTTGATGTTGATGTTGATGTTAATGATGATCTTGATGATGGTTATGATGGTTATGATAATGATAATCTGATGGTGGTAAGAAAGGTGATCAAGATGTTGCTGATACCAATGTCGATATGCAAGCAAGTGACGTTCATGACGATTTTTTAAATCAGAGAAAATCATTTTCCCTTACATAGTGATTTATAAAGTCCAGGTAGTGCCTTGGAGTGATAGCCATAACCTGACTTCCTTTCTTCATCAGCCTTGAGTTAGCTTCATGTAGAGTTTGGTGGACAAACACAAAGCCGTTTATGACAGCTTCCCTGTGTGTTGGAGGTACTGGCAGTTCCTCATACACCACTGGCAGGTATGGAGGAGCAGAATACTACAATAAAAAGAATTAGAAGATCACATAGGGCTTAAAATAGGGCTTGTAATGGCTGGTCAATGGACAATGTCTGGCCAAAAGTAGTACTTGTCCAGCCAATGCCTCTTAGGCCAGTCCTCTTGACTGGTCACATGTTTATCAATCCAAAGTAACTTGTCATCTTGTCCAGCCATTGACAACTGCTACTTTTAGCTCATCAATAAAGGATATAAATCCATGAAGTTACAATATTGAGTGACTACTCCCTTTTCAAGTTTGCCTTTGCTCAGTCTTAGCCTAGATTGTGTACAAATGTGTTCTTTTGTTTTATTAAGGTCCATTGTATAGTAAGGAATTTAAATACTTCGGAATACGAGTTGATTGAAATGCCACGGGTTTTGGTTGAATAGCTGAATATTATAACACAGAAATGAGACTGAGCAAAGAGCACTCGAAACTGGAGTATTGAAATGCTCACCTTGGACTTGTCTAAATCAAGTTTACTAGTGAACTCTTTTCCAACTTGGTACAACGCACCAGTAGACCAGTCACCAAACCAGTTGAGCACGCACCTAATGAGGCCAAAAGTAAAACATTAATGTAATATATCTTATTATATAGATATCGATGAAATACCAGGTTTTCCAGGTATATCTTTCACCAGTGGAAGATACCATATCTTTCACATGTGAAGATATCGCTGATGACATAGTAACGTATTCTAATAAAGCATTTTTGAGCTTTTGTTTTATTTAAGTTTCATCGATATCTATATAATAAACAGAACATTACATGTCCGCTTCATGGAAATACGAATTTTATCTTCTCGTGTTCAATTTAGACATCTCACGAGTTCGCTGCGCTCACTCGTGAGATATCAATTGAACACTTGAATCTCCGCGCGCCCATGTAATATCCTCTATATAACCACAGAGGGGAATTATGTCTAGTACTGACCTGTTGAACAAGGCAGGAGATGTTGCAGCTCTGTCCTTCAGGCCTTCAGATGAGGGATTCATAGTGAACACAACATGAAGGTTGGTCATCACCTAATTAGATATAATTTTAGTAAGATGTTAGTAAAATTACATTTGATCCCTGAATCTGCATTTTACCACGTATATCTTCAAGATATTTTTTTTGGGGGGGGGAGGGGGGATCAATTAGCTGAATTAATCTCAGGAACCTCATCACCAGCTTTCAATGAGGAGCAAACACCATCATCGATGGTAAAATAAGGTTCAAGTAATAAGTAATGATACCTAAGTAATAAGCTGCAAAGTGTCTTGGGGAATGGACAACATGAAACCTTCCCTGTATCTGGATATATAGGATAAAAGAAAAAGCACCTGTTGTGTGAACCACTTGTAGAGCTCTTCTCCCGAGTCCAACATCAGACCCTCTCTCTGTGATCCTTCCTTGCACTGGGTCATCAATGTGGTGAACTCATCTCCTTCAAACAGACCAGGCACCTAAAACAAAAAAAACATGTTGCATTTTAAAAATCCTATCAACAAAGTAAAGGAAAGGGAGGATAATGTGGACGTTTTTTGGGACTGTTGAAAACATCCCTGCTCCCCCCTCAAAATCAACATTGCCCCCAACTCATAAATCATGAACAGTCCCCAATGGACTAACATCAAAATACAATAGAAATGACAAATTCCATCAAGAACAAGTGTGACTTCTTTCATATTTCCATGTAAGCCTCACGTCCACTATATGACTTAGAAGGGTCCATTTCCGTCTTTTAGCACTGTGCAGTAATACATCACCATGTGTAATTGGCCTTACCTCTCCATTAGCAAGAAGAGTGTTCATTCTCTGTGCAGTAATACATCATCACATGTAATTATTGACCTTACCTCTCCATTAGCAAGAAG